CTCAGGAAGAAGTTTTTATTGCGTCTTGGTGTCTAAATGCATCGACTTGCTGCTTTCTGGTCTTGGCAGGTTTGCTTTTTGTGTTAACAAGTAATTAAATGGAGGACTTGCCTTAAAAATAAATGCGCCGGACATGGAGGATCTCACAGAAACCTCTGTTGAATGGCTTTTTTTTTTATCCATTTAAATGACTAAATGCATCTCAGCCTAAACTTTTCCCATCTATGCACTATTCTTCTGCTTTTAGCCTCACCAACTTTATTCGAATTGAAATAACAAATCACTTTAGGTGACTTGCTTGTTGAAATCAGTGCAGTGTAGTTGTAATAATGTATGAGTGCAGAGCGGGGTAATACATGCCTAGACATGGATTCATGTTTCAGATACATTGCTGTTCGGCCCACTGAGTCTGGATCTTTCAGTTTGCATAATCATCATCCGTCCTGTTGGCTGGGGAGCCAAAGGGAGTGCAGGAAATTAGCGGATGTCTGCTCAGAAAATTACTTTATATGTTACTGTGGTGATTTCTCAAACGAGGCCGGTAACAAAATTTATAAAGTGGAAGTAATGTCGGCAAGAGAGGATGTTACTGAGCCTGAAATCTGGTGCACTGAAAACTACCAGGCTGGCATGCAGCATGTAGTTTAATTCACTTTTCCGTTCATGTTGGTTTTTATCAGCCTCTTTTGAGCCCAGGAGTATTCTAAAATCTAAATTTAACGTTTATGCATTCGAGCAAATTTATCCCCGCCCTTGGAAACGATGTTGTATTCCTTAATATTGATTAATCTCTTATTGCAGTAGGATAAGTATTAAATTCGACATGCTACTGGCATGAAACAAAAAAGGAATATTTGGAAATTACCTCATTCTGTTAAGTATGATGGAGGATATGTGATGCCATGTGGTTCCTTCTTTTCCTAAAGCTCCAGGAACCTTGTTAGAGTGCACTGCCTCTTGGAAGATTTGAAATATTAGGACATTTTACAGTAAAAAAAAACGAAGAAAAAAACCACTGAAAATGGGTCATCACTTGGTATTTGCAAAAGACAATGGACAACAAATATGTATGGTTCACTAGACACAAAATATGAAATTTCCCATTGCCTTCAAAACGACCAGACTTCAAATTTATAGCAAACATGAGCTAAACAGAGGAACACATTAAGGAGGACTCAGGACTCTGGACAATTCAGAGAGATTTTGCCAAACAAAAATTATCAAAGATGCCTCTTTCTTTTTGTGCTTCAACCTTGTAATATTTTGCAGGCTACATCTGTTCTATTAGAAAAAGAGCTTTGACAGCAGTGGTACTAATATTAGTGGAAAAGGACATTTGTCAAAAAACGAGTTGCTTCTTGTGGTGGGTGCAGTGCTAAGATTTTTAACTTCTCATTTTGTCTGAGGGTAATCTAGACTGTCATTTCCAATTGGAGCTTACAGTGTTGTTTACCAATCGTGTGGCGTAGAGGTAAAGCCTTGTGAGCCTTAGACAAACTACTGCAAGACGTTTCTCCTTCCATGGACAGAGTGCAGCTTGTAGAAACGTATAGTTTGAAATCATCATATCATTCATTTGTGCTTCTTGCTCTACCCAGTTATTGTTTGATGTTACATATTTTGATGTCTAGTTATTTTAAAGTGCTTTGCGACAATTTTCTGGACATTTCATGTGAACATGTCTCAATCCTTAATGAGGTGTAGTTGAGCTTGTCAAAGTTAGGCACAACAACATGTTGGAAACAGAGGAAAAGAACAACGAGGAGAAGGAGAGAAAGGTGCAAGCCTCACCAGGTAATGGCCATTTCCAATCTGATCATTTTGGCCTAATGTGACTACTTTGTAACACACTTGGAACCTCTTGTGAGTTAACCTGGGGAGCCAAAAAGCTTCATCCAGACATTGAAGTCCATTGGAGAGACGGTTTGCCTCATTCTTTGGACAAACTGTTCAGAAGAGCATCAAGCCGAGGCTGCCTCATCAAAGAGAGCGCGAGAGAGTTGAAGAGAGAGGCTGCTAATCTGCCTGCTCACTGATGGCCTGAGATCCGGATGGAGGATGATGTTTCCACAGACATGAGGTCGTAAAAGTTCCGCTCATTAAATATTTCCCTCTTTTTCGTAGATCAGATATGATCATTTAAAGCAAGATAAGATCACTGAGATCTTCTCCTATTAGCTTTAACAAAACCCTGAGGAAATCTGATAACCAGCAAGACTGAAGAATAAGAAAGCTGAATATTGCTGTTTACTCAGATCCCTTGTATTTTTGTCATTAGAAGTAGATTGTTTGTTCATCACGGTTTGTTCCTGGGTAATAATCAATATAAATTAGTTTTGATCAATAATGCCCTTACCCATTGATTCTTTTGGCAGTTCAAGGAGATTTTTTATAATCCGTATTTGAATCAGACCTTTTTCTGACTGGAAATGAGCCATGGAACCGAGATAAATTAAACATCTGGTTTGATTTAATTTAATAGCGATTGGTACGGGAAAAGGAAAAATCACCTTTATTAAGATGCATGAATTGGCTGAAACAAAACGATTGCTTTAATAACACAGTAATATAAATTAAAGTAGGGCTAATATCTAGTATAGTAGATGGGATTTCTTCTTTGCTGATCAATTTCCTGAAACTGAAGTTTGGATTATTCTAAAATTTTCAGTGTGTTTGATTTTTAAAGCTGTTTACACTTTTTTTTTTTTTTTTTTCCCCTGGGTTGCCAACAAATTTATCCACGTCTGTATTCGAGCTGACTGGGCTGTCGCTGTTTTACAAACTGGCAGTCAATATGCAACTTCCACGTATTATAGTATATAGTGCTATGCATCATTTCAGCTCTTACAAAAACCCCGAGCCATGTCCGAGAAAGGCTGATCACTCGAGCGCCCAGATTCAATCAACCAGACTCGCACACAGTGCATTACTTAAAACAGGAGAGCCACTTGACTCAGGAGTGGTCAAGATTATTGCTTTATTGGTGCCTTAAGTATGCCACTGGAGATGCAGCACAAGTAGCCAAGCTTTAAAAGCATAGTGGCTCTCAGATTCCCACGTGTGGAAGTGCTATCGGACTTGTCCAGTCAGTGCCTGTGCTTGCCTTGGCACTGGCAGCAGCCTGGAACCGGGGCTATGCCTGGGGCCAACAGCAGATACAAACACAGGGACTTATGTCCTGTGGAAATACAATACTGCTGCCCCTTCCCCCAGTGTCTACTTGTGAAGCCAGGCCCTTGGTCTTGTGGTTGGCTATAAGCGCTGGCGTGTACGTAGCCGTTTGTGCTATGTATGGGCAGGACAGGCTTTAGGAGTCCAAGTGTTGAAAAGGACACATTGTGCCTCCGTATCATCCAATCTTTTTCCTCAAACATGAAACAGATTTTTTTTTTTTCTATAAGTGTGACTTTCTGGATGTCTCGCCTGTCAGAAGGGATTTTCTGTAGCTCTTGATGTGAAATTGTCTTTGCGGAGGCCTGACAGTATGCTGATACATAGAAGAGCAGCACTGAAAAGGATGACACAGGCTCACTTTGTTTCACCCCGGAGTCCCGGCCCGACCCTGGGCTGTATCATAATAATAGCTCTGTGTGACAACCATACTGGTCCACTCAGAGCAAATGTGAGCCGACAGTTGCTTCTGCGTGAGGAGCTTGCTGGCTGCGGCAGTTGCTGTTGGCCTCTCTGCAGCGTTATTGTACTGTAGGTAATAAAAGCCACAGAGTGGTTCTGTGCCAACACTGGTGAGCTACAGCCAGGGCAGATATTGCGCACAGCAGCCAAAGCATCATGTACCATAAATAATGCAGCTGGGTCAGGACACACGGAAGAGGACGGAGTCAACAGTGAGCGTCGCGTCAGAGAAAATGTAGAGCCAGAATAAACAGGATCCATAACTCGGAGTGGTTTGTGTTTGAGGCGCACGAGCTCAAGGATAATGGGGCTGATGCAATGAAGTTGCACGCTGAGCTAGATGTGCTGGATTTATTTTAAACAACGCATGCTACATCGTTCACAGGACCAGGGGAGTCCCCCAAAAACTCAAAGGAATGACCCAGTTTGCCGCAGACTGTCCAGGTCCGTTAAGCTTTGACAGAGTCTTTGTTTGTAATGGGCATTTTGTGGTTGCAGGGTACACGGGAGGGTCGAGTATCAGACCGCCTGACCAAACAGTCACCCCACTGTTCTCCGGCAGAGAACACTCGGAGCAGCCTCAATTAGTTTCTGCAGTAATCTCCCACTCCTGTCACAAGATCTGACCTGTTTGTAATAACACACAGGGGGCCTGGGCTGGTCTGCTCAGGAAATGAGATGATCCATGGCTGACAGCTTAGACACAGCTGCCATGTATCCGTTATTAATATGCTGCAAAAACAGTTTACTCTCCCCTGTCTGCAGGGAGGCGCATGCACATTTGTGCATGTGTTTGCTGGGACACAAACAAACGCGCGTCGGAGATCAGTGTAGATCAGAGATCAGAAGATTAGCTCTAAAGCTGATCAGATTATTGTGCGTGCTTCATATTGCCTGCGAAACATAAGCTGAGCTCAGTGATTTAGCTCCAACTTGTTGATGCAACGCAATAGCATGGAATTTATTACTAAGCATGCTATTGTAGAAGCTCTAAAATCATTTTCCAGTCTCTTCCCTTTCCATTATCTCCATTAGAGACCTAAAATCTCAAACGATCAGCGCTACAGCAAGCGTGTCATGTTTTTAGCGTTGATGATACGAGCGTTTTTGCTTTCACCTACGTCGCATCAATCCACACAGCCTTTCCTGCTTGTGTCGGTTGTGGAGCGGGATTGCATATGATGACTCGGTGAAGTGTTCGCAGACTTCTCCGTAAGAGAGCAGAGAAATACCTCGACTGAAAAGCTCCAGTTCAAAGGCTGAGATTTGCTTCTCCTTGGCTCTTGGCAGAGCGGGAGATCAAAGCTAAATGCTGAGCAACAAATGTGTGTTTCTGTCACTGGTGATTTGTCTGTGTGTTTGATCAGCAGCCTCCCTTATCTGCCTGCCTCACTCTGCTGCTAATGTGCAGTAATAGACTGCCTTTCATGAGACAAGAGACGACGGAGTTGACTTGAAGGATGTGACATAGGTGAGTGGTGCAGATGGGAGCACACTTTGAGTTGGACTGATGCTGTAAAATTGCAAAGGAAATGTTTGACCGATGTTCCTCTAAGCCAGTTGCGTGTAGTGTTTGATGCATATGGCGTACTTTTATTATTATTTATATATATATATATATATATATATATATATATATATATATATATATATAAACAATAATCCGTCGTAATAATGTCTTGGAGATATCCACACATTTCTGTGAAATGTTTTTACCCTCTTAAATGTTCCAGATGAACACATTTTAGAATCAGACAACATATTAAAAAGCAGTTTGACAGGATATACAAAAAATCAGGTCCTTTGTGGAGAGATATCATTTTCACCCCTCACACCGCTTGTTATGCCACAGATTAAGTTGAAAGTGAACGTATCATGCTTTTATATTCTTCCTTTTCACATTTAAAATGTTCAGTTGTGGTCTATACAAAGTGGAAATGCAATGCTTTGGTCTGAATTCCTCTTTATTCTAGCTCCACAAACCTGTCATTTACCTCTGTTTTGAGAAACGGCACGCTCTCTTTTCATCCTGGTCTTTTTAACGCTCTTTAAAAAAGTTGATTTTGCATGATATGTTCCCTTTAATTATCAGAATTCTTTGGTTTAGTTTCACTTGCTACACCTATGATTCACTACTTGCTAAATGGATCATGTGCGATAACATACAGTTGGCTCAAAAATCTCAAAAAGCAGCCCATCATCCCTCTAGAAAATGTTACAACAGATCAGAAACAAAGTCACTGATGTCCCATCAGTCTGGAAAAAAAATATAAATCCATTTCCAAAGATTTCAAACTTCAGAGAACCACCAGAACAAATGATGAAAACTGGGAACAGTGGTGAAAGGAGTGCACATTGTGTAGAACATTTCAGAGGAAAAACATCATACCGACAGTCAACCATGATGGTGGTAGTGTAACATCTGAGGCTGAGTTGCTCCAAAACACATCTACAGGTCCACTGCTCCTGGGTAAAAAAAACAGTTTGGCATGGCCCAGTCAAAGTCCAGACTTGAATCTGAGTGAATTGCTGTGGCATGACTTTAGGCAAGCTTAATGCTATTAGCTTCCAGTGTTGTTATGTTGAACATTTCTGCAAAGAAGAGTGGACCAAAACTCCTCATAGCAATGTATTGCCAGTTAACACAAACATTTGATGATGGTTGTTGCTGCCAAGGATGAGGCAACCAGTTATTAGGGTTAGGGGGCAATTACTTTTTTTCACATAAGGCCTTTAATTTTGATAACTTTTGTCCCTTAATAAAGGAAACCATCATTTGAAAGCTGCATTTAGCGTTTATTTAGGTTATCTTTGTAAGATTTTAAGTCGTTTCATGGTCTAAATCATTTAAAGTGGGCTAATTAAAAAAACAGAAGAACTTTACAAGGAGGGCAAAAACGTATTTAGAGCCCCCTCCTTATTAATCCTACACCCTAATCTCAAGTACAGATTTTTTTTAGTCACCCCCTGTTTGTCACTCCTCTTACTCCTTTAAGACTTGCATAAATTAAGACAGCAGTCAAATAAAGCCCCTCTTTTACTTTTACTAAAGGGAAATCCTGGCTTTGACCGAGTAGTTGTAAAATGCATGTGGTGGTTGGCAAAAGGAAAAACAATTCCCACAGGATGGACTGAAAGACCTGTTTTTTCATGTCTTGGCTGCCTTTGGTCTGGCAAAAGAGGAAATAGCTCGGCTTTTCAAGTCACTATGTAAATACTCGAAGAAGTGTGCCACTGTGCTTTAGCAAAAAAACAACAAAAAACGGCATGATGTTTTTACAGGTCATATTTAACTTCACAAGCAGGCACAGCTAATCCACACAGTGGCTTTTGGCTTGATAGAATTAAACACATTCCTGTGGGTTATATGTTTGAAAACCGCAGTCCTTGCTGGATGTAGTATTTTCCTCCTATGGGCACATACTGTAGGTTTTCTAACTTAAAAGAAAGGAGTATTTAAAAAAAAAAACAGCTAAATCTGGAGAAGCAGAGCAAATTCTATCCTTACTTCTGCTCTAAAAGTGAAAATGTGACACCATCAGGCTCCCCGCTGGATTACTGGCCTCACTGACCCCTAACAACAGCATGATGGGTCTAATTAGAAAGGTTATATGTAGCTATAGTTTGAAGGGGACCAGTCCACAGAACAATTTGTTCATGCAGTCTTTGAGAAAACCCCCTGCTGATAAAATAACCACCCTGAAAAGAGCTGCTGCAACCTTCTCAGAAATCACCTTTATGGTCCAAGTCTCCAATGACACCAGCTGGCTGGCCAGAGCGCAGACCGCAGGGCGTTAGGGATTGTCCTCCTCTTCCTTCTCCTGCCAGCTCAGTCTCCTGCTGTGCACAGCTGGACAGGATCTGGATCAATGCTGTTTGTGTGGCGGGCGTTAACTAAGAGTGTGTGACGGTGTGACGGAGGTTGGGTTTGTTGTTGTTTATCCAGAGGGGCAGTGAAAGGTGATGTCAGACAGTGACCGTTTGTTTACGTCAGGGGTCACTGCTGGATAATTAGAGCTCATCCCCCCCACCCATCCCAGAGTTTTCTTCTTTCATGGAAACAATCAACGTCCTTATAGCTTCAATTACCAACAGCGATGATGATTAAATGCAGTTGGATATTTTTATGATGGTAGATATTGTCTTATAAAATGTTATAGCATCATTTACATCATATTGACTTCTGTTGTATTATTCACTCACTGTTTTAACTATGCCATCAGCTAAAATGCTTTTCATGGTTCTTTAGGTTCAGTCTGCCTAAAATAGATGATGTATATTTAAGATGGGGGGAGGGGGGGAAGAAACGACGCAAACACTATTCCTCTGTTACTGCTGACTCAGACAGAATTGTCCATTAATCTTCAGATGTCTTTTTATGGCTGCAATCTGTTCCAAACTTTTTGCTGTAGTCAAAGGGCCCAGTTTGTTCCGAGGTAAACCGTCTTAGAGCCGCTCTGTCTGAAGCCTTTGATGGCTGAATCTCGCCGTGCAGAGTCTTTATCAGATTTTCCTCTGAGCCGAGTGTCTGGTTCCAGGAGGCAAAGGGACTGAGTTAGCAAGAGTCTCATGGGGGATAAGGTAACAGGTGGGCTGAGTGCCATTCACGGGGGTCAGACTGCACAATGCTAGCATTTCTCTTTGATCCTGATACCATCATCCGTGTGTGTGCTCAGCGCTGCTCCCTATTTCACCGCTCAGCGACTTTACATCCAGCTGCCTCCGACTGTGTCTGCAGAACTGCCCCCAGATCCAATAACACGGCACCACTGTAAGACAATTACCCACTTTAATAACGGCCGTCATTACACACCCAGTAGATGGAATATGAAATACTAATTTTGGATGCAAATGCGCGTTATGTGCGTTGTACTGTATGTGGGAGGGAGAGGTGCATCAAATTCCATCTGCAGCCTTGCTGATTATTATGGGAAGTCTTTATGAGTCTAGTTTCATTAGACTCCAACACACTCTTTAATATTATTTTTTTTACATATAGTCACCTTTCTAACTAATCATCAGTGTGAATCTCATGTTTCAGTATGTGCTTTGGGACCTGCTGAAATGTGGCTTCAGGATTTGACAAGTCAATTCTAACAAAAACAGAACCACAAGCAACAAAACGAAGGGTTTATTACCAATTTGGAGCGTTAGAGCTGCAGGACAGGTTATAAATTTTTATTGGCTCCTTGGACCAGTGCAACCAGCCATAACATAAGTGAAGAAAAGGAACTGAGAGTAGGAGAAAGAGAAAGAGCTGATAACTCATTTACGCAACATAAATTATTGATAAGCGCCCTAATGGCAGAGAGACGGAGAACACACGGATTTCTGAGATGTTTTGTCAAAACAAAGATTAATAAAATGGAATTTATCAATATGTATGGGTTTTAATTGACTTAATCATATCTTTGAGTGTTGGACATAATGACATTTTATTGCAATGCTTTAAGTATTGATATAATTTAAAAATTCCTCTCTGCACAAAACTCTGAATCTGAAGGAGTCCCGTTACTCCTTCTGCAGATACATTGTTGATATTGAGTCCAAGCAAACAACCAGCATATTAAATGACAGAAAGGTGATGTAAGCACACACGACATCTATAAACTCACACCTACTTACCAAATTAAAGTGACCTCAGTTTGTCCACGCAGGTTTGCTGCAGTGACATGGCAGTGAATTATGGTAGCAGATAAGGGTGCTTGGGATAGAAAGTGACCTTTTAAAGTAATCCCAGCAAAAAATAAATCTTATTTTCATTTTGTTATAAACTTAAAAACATAGGAATGCAGCATTTCAATCACTAGATTTCTCTATATTATCCATTATATTGACATATCAGAAATTAGACAGTAAATTAAAACAGAGAGCATCGTCATCAGGCTTCATCATCAGCACGTTTCAGCATCAAGGCAATTCGAAATGCTTTACATGATGAAAACACAATAACTAAACAAAAAATGTTTACATTGCAATAATAAAGAGAAGTATCCAGACTAAAACTCATTATGCCAAAGTAATTATTGAAATCCAATCCAGCTCTCTGATCGATGTTAACGGCGTTGTATGCTGCACTTGGGTCCAAAAGGTTCTTTCACGGTTCTTGTTGATATGGATGTCATTGAACACTTCGATAATGAATCCAGACTGAAAGACATGAAAGTGGTTGCTCATTGTTGAGCAACTATTTAGCTGTTGACACAAAGCCGTTTCCTTTACTTTGCTGATGAATGAATCCAACCGCAGCTTGTCCAAATTGTTCTGTTTTTTATCAGTGGGTTGATGACGTCTCAGGTGTTTCCTCCAGGCTTTAAAAGCAGAGTTGAGTTTACCGTTTGAATCGAACTAGATGCGATGCATTGGTTATGACATTAAGACCTCAGGAGGACGATCTTAATCAATGTATGATTTCTTCTAAGTTTTTATAGTTGAGTTGGTGGCATTGTTTCATTTTGATTGGACACAGCATTGGTGCTGGATTTGATGTTGATCTTGCCAATCAATCAATCAGTTTTTATTTGTATAGCACATTTCAGCAGCAAGGCATTTCAAGGTGCTTTACATAATTAAAAACCAAAATAAAAACAGCATGTGACATTGAATAAACGGTAAAAAAAAGAGATTTAAAAAAAAAAAAAGATAAAAACATACTTTTGTTATGGAATTTAAGTGCTTGTCGTCGCCGGACTCCGCCGTCCGTTTAACACGGGTATTATCAAGGCCCTGTTGCCTAACAGGACAAGGTCTCCAACCTACCAGTATGGCAAATCTCCACAGAGTTTTCTTCCTGCCGGAAACAACCTTCACCTCAGAGGAAACAATGGACTTCACAACGCCTGAAATTTTAGACTGGAAGTTTTTGGATTCAGGTGGAGGAGTAAGCTTCTTTAAATTTTTCAGTTATTTGCTTTTTGACTTTACCCAATGGAGAAATGATTGCTTCAAGTAACCTTAAGATTAAACTGTTCTTAATTGACAGATTTTTTTAATGACTTATGGCTCTTGCCCAAATGGAAGGGAAAAAATTGCTGTTCTAAAAAGGACAACAGTCCTGTATCGGCCTTTTTAGTGAAAACGCTAAAAAATGATATATTGATCAGCTCAAACTGTTTTTGTAGATGGCCCAATTGCACACAGACAGAAGTCAGTAAAGTAATATGTTTACATAATGTTACACTATGTCTGTGTTGTGATGTAAGGACACGTTCTCCAGCATTGCCTTAATATGCGTTTGACACCAGCACACGTAATTTCACCACCAGTTTGAACTGCGGCACAAACAATAAATTCAGATTTTATTTCTTGAAAAACACATTTGTCTCCTTTATATTTTACGAAACCTACAGAGGATTACCAATTGTCCATCTAGTGGGGTTTTTTTGCGGAATAAAGAGTACATTTCAGACACTAACATTTTTGATGAAATGTTGGTATAGCAATTGATTTTGATGCCGAGTCTCTGCCTTATAACTACTGAGTGTAAATTCTTTCCTTTAGTCATTTTCCTACAGCTTGAATTCAAATGTAAGAAAAATCTGTCCTCTCTACACTTTCAGATAACTACCACTGCAGTATAAGCTACAGGATCATGTCCCAAGCAGGTGTTTTTGTGAGCGAGTTGGCACCAAAGTTAATATCTGGGGTGGGGGGGGGGGAAGAGAAGAGAAATCGAGAGGAGAAAGTGAGAGATTCTGTCATGCACTGGGTCAGAGGAATGTCTGACTATAATCATCTGTGATGGTATAATCACAGCTCAGTCAAACTTTACTCCTGCCTTTTCTACCCCCTCCTCTCACAACTGAGCAAAGCTCCCTCTGATATGAGTGAAACTGGCAATGGGACTTCAGAGAACCACGTCTCAACTTCGTCAGAAGAGTCTTTATTATTCCCAGACTTTCTATTTTTTTGAGGCTAATCTATGAGTTCTTTGCCCAATATAATCTGCGTCCATGTGTGAAGAGTGTCCCACTGCGGCTGCCATACGCTCAAAGATTAATAAACCCAATTTGCAAAAGTGACCTTTTGGCTGCTAAATCACTGCCTCTACTAAGCCTCTTAATGCCTGCTTTAAAAAAAAAAATTGTTGTAGAGAACCACTCTTCAGACAGGAGAAAGGAAATAAGCGCACTACAATTTAGAGGAGGAGTCTGGATTAAAGTCAAGATGATGTGGAGAACGAATGAGGCCCTGCAGGAAAAGTTTCAGTGAAGTGAAATGGGAAAAAAAAATTACTTCTCGGAGTAGTTTTATTGCACCATAATTTTTACTTAACTTGTAATATTATTTTGAGGTAACATGAATCATCCTTGAGTACAATTTCTCGCTACGCATCTAGAGTTACTTCACTTAAGAAAGAATGAATGCATTTTAGCCAAAAATGTGCCAGACAGAGACACAAATTTAAGGTGTACGTTAGTGAGACTTCTTGTTAGTGCCTCATCGACATGGAGTTTGCATGTTTGGCTGTAACTGTGTTGTCAGCTGCAACTATAGAAACTCCAGTAGACTGGATTTTGCTGTCAGTTAGCCATAAATCCATTGCAAACTAAGAAGTTAATTAAAAAATGAAAAAAGTTCAACAATGCTTTAGTTAGAAATGTCACCTGTTTTTGGTATATACTGGTGGGTGTTGGCACCAGGCACCTTATTTTTGCCAGAAGTAAAGAGATAAGCCTTTAATTGTAAGATTATTAATACGACTCTCCATGTACTATGGTTTATTATTATGATGCATTTGCTTTCGGCTGTTTGCAGGTTTTTTTTCCTCTGAGATCATTAAATGTGTTTAGCTTTAGGGTTAACAATGGGAGTGTACCCAAAACTGGAAGAGGTTTGAGGACGCTGTTGGAAGCAAATGTACAAAACTGTCTCCACATGTGTTTTCAATATTACAAACGGAGAGATTGCAGTTTTTCTAGTAATATGTCACAATCTGTACTTCTCTAAATCCCCAATATCTGAGTAGTCATAGTCAGTTTTATAGTTAACAATTTGTCATGCAGCAGCTGTTTTAAGTTTGAGCTACAAACTCCATAACAGATGTTGGGATATCTTATTTTAATGTTTGGCTTTAAATAATGATACTTTGATTGCTGTCTTTATTTATTTATTTATTTATTTTTTAGAATTTCCATTAAATTAAACATCTTTATTTGCTGATGCATTTAGTATCTTTGTTGTGCTTATTTTATAACACCCAGAGCTAAACTACATGTGGATTTCTACGTGATGCCGGATCTCTGGAACCAATCTTTGATCAGAAGGAGGTAGCCGACAAACTCCACCCTCAGTTTGGCAGCAAGAGACTCAAAACATCAAAGTAAAACCAGTCCAAATAGTCACTCGTCAGCAGAAACATAAACCAGTTCAACTACAGCGTGTGTGTTTGCAGATTTGTGTTTACGAAGTAGTTTCAGTAACCAGGGACAATTCAGATTTAAGCCTAGATGCATTTAGCTGTGTCCTACAAGTAGATTGAAAATGTCCTTGCTGGGCTCTTGGTAAGAACATCTTATTCTGAGCAGACTGATTGGAAGAAGCAGAATCTTAAGCAAAATGAACAATGTTGTTATAACCCTTGTGGCCTGCAGTCACTGACATTGACTGAATAGCTGTGGATATTTGTTCAAATCTCTGTGAAAGGAATGATCCTAATTGATAATAGTAGCAATCCAGAGAACCTTCATAAAACAATCCACGTTTAGCCCAAGGGGAAATAACATGTTCAATTCTGAATTTGCAAGCCTGTCTGACTTAAAATTTTAACATGTTTTGGAATCGTAAATGAGTAAGCGGCTTCAGCTCGGTGTATCTTAACTAATAGCTTGTTTACATGTTTCTTCCCTCTCTCCGAGTTTAAACGGGTTGGAGAAAACAGTATTCAAGATTTCTGATTTGTGATGCGACCTGGAGCCTTAATTTCAAAGATTCTGTTTGTGATCGACAGATTATGCCTGGTGGGGTTTCCTCTTGATGACATCTTGATTACCTACACTTTTTAGATTCAAACCTAAAAAATCCACCAGAAAAGCTTGAAGACTTGTCCAACCAGGACTGGACACACTCTGTTTGTCCAACTCTGTCCAAAGTCGTGCAACTGTGTTTCCCCATTCCACAAGGGAGGTGACCTTCAGTCAAACCAGCAAGTTTCATGTTGATGATTTGTTGAAAGTAGTTCTAGATCCAAGTCAAATTTATTTCTAAAGCACATTTCAAAGTGCTTTACATCATAAAACGTAATATAGAAATGTATTATGAAACAAGCAATAACACATTTTGTGAAATGCCATCAAAATCGTCAAGCAAATATACATTGACTGAATGCAAGTGTTTTAATCAATAAATAAACAAATACAATTTTTATCACTATACAAAAACAAAATCCAGTTCTTTTCAGTGTTTCGCTGAATCTTTCTTTGGAATAAGTAAAGATGTCTTCCATCAGAACTGACTGTGAGGATGCTGTAAACATATTAAATATTAAAGTAGCCATCAAGTCTGCGACATGATTTGTCCAGTGGTTCTGTATCCACAACTGTAGATTTGCAAGTAGGAAAAGTATCAAGTCATCAAACATCTTATTCAGCAATATGGTCAAATTTACAATTACCTTTTACATTTTTTCAATGATTTCAATTACAGCAGGAGTAATTGGAATCAATCAAATGGCCCAGGCAATTTGAAACTGTAGTTCCTGAAAAGTTTATTTTATGTATTCTCTATTCTGCTCCGTAGTTTTTGTCACCAGGAAGAGCATGCAGAGATTCATTGTTCTGCATCTTAAATACATCGAGTACATTCACTTTGAAAGGCTCATTTAACTGCAGAAAATGGATAATACATTTCTCAGACACAGACGTCTGAGCATATGGCAGATAAATGGGATGAAGTTGGTATCTATGGGAGACATTTTAGCATAAACATCTGGCATCTTAGGCTGGCTTAAGGGTAACCTACCTAAGAAGTCCTCTGAGCCATCACTCGTGCTACGAGGGCGTCACCTAAGCTTTTAGTGGTATTAGAAGTGCACTAAATTAAGATTTAGCTGAAGTGCGCAGCTCTAGGTTTTCCATCATTTCTTGTATCCCCTTATTTAAAATGAAATGAATGCAGTTGATTGGGGTAAACAGAGCAGCACTGTGTCTGACATCACTTTTTTTTTTGCACACAAATTCATCAGGGTGTCTCTCTGTAACAGCACAGTCAAAACCTGATGCTGGATGGGTTTGTCATTGAGTCTGACATTGGCAGAGAGATTGATTGTGGCGTCATTCACTCGACACAAATATGTTTTAAAGCAAATGAGTGAAAAATCAGATCTGTCAGGAATATTGATGAGGAGGTTTTTGCCGAGGCTGCCTGAAATAAACCACGTTGACTGGGGGTATTTTTATTCCTCTCAATGGGCTCCAGTTGTTTTAAACAGTCTGTGTGTGTTTGTGGGCTGCATCAGCTTCTGTCTGCGTGCAAGAATGCGCTAAGTGCATGAGGAAAGGCATGCTGCCTGCACAGTGCTAAAAAAAGTCCTTCCATTGACTTCACCTTATCCAAAAAACTGATAAGGTGTGTGCTTCCCCTCTGCCGTGGTCCTCCTCTATTTACAGCTAAGCCTTGAAATATTGAAAATCTTTTAAAATGTCCATCAGTTAGTTCACATGTTTTTATTTTATTTTTTCCAGAGGAATTACAACCCTTTAAAACTGCAATACATAGAAAGTGAACTGGGTTAATTTGTGACAGCAGAGACAGTGTTGCATGTCTACCCTGATCTAAGAATTATTGTTTTTAATTATTTGTCTCTTTTTACTTTTTTGCCATTAGTGGCCATTATTTGTTAGTAATTGACAGTAAATGACCCAGACTTGGGAATTGAACCTGTGACAGCAGCGTTGAGGACCGTAGCCTCGGTACAGGATTCACCCGCTTAACCACTGAGTCCCCTGGTGCCTGAAAATGTTTTTTTTTTTTTTTTTTTTTTTTAATGTTTGAGCAAAGTAAGGAACAACATGAACACAGAAAAGGTGAAAATTCAAGTCTGGCTCCAATTGCAACACTGTCATTTCTAAACTTGAGCTATACATTTTTTATTTTTACTCTCGTTTTATGACGTTACTATAAATGTGCAGCCTGCACTTGCCCATCTAATGGTTCCACCTATGATAGAAAGTTATAGATAAAAAAAGTAACAATCATCTACGTCCATAATGTATTTCTGTAAGTCCAAGGTTGTGAAAAGTATCTTGATTTTTTTTTTTTTTTTTTGCTGCTCTAACCCTTTCTTGTCTTTGATTTACACAACCTAAAAAATCTTTTCTGGTTCCTGCTCAGCACTTTTTTGCTGGCAGATAATCAAAATTGTGAAGAGAAATGAGAAACTACACTAAAACGTAAATGGAAAGATGGTATTTTGAACTGTAGTTGGTTGCTGGTAGGATTGCATACGAGCTTTAGACCACATAAGAAATTTTAATTACAGTGCAATGTTCCTTCTTGAATCTGACTCGGCATAAATACATTTAGTGTATTTTGTTCAAAATCAAGTTCAGTCACATATTTGAATTATGCAAGCTGAATTTTCTACCCCTCATTTCCTGCAGTGCAAGTGTATTGGGATAACTAGTATAGATTTTAGTGGGCATCTAATTTTATTTTTCTATATTCAATGATTGCCTGGGGATGAAAGTTCAATGCCGTATTATTCCCTGCAAGTGGTCAAATAATTATTTATTGAATTAGTGATGAAGTATGTAGAGATATTCTAAGTTTGAGCCATAGCAAGCATTCAGCATACTGGGGTGAGTGGAATTTTCATCAGTGAAGACTGTGTCTGCGTAGCATATCATCAGGTTAATTAATTTTCTTGTCAAATCATTAATGTGTCAAATTGTGGAGATGTAGCACAACGTGTAGAAATATTTCAGATGAGACTTTTGTACATTTGAATGTATTGTTTAACAATAATATATATATATATATATATATATATATATATATATTTTTTTTTTTTTTTTTTTCATTATATATTTTAGTGGATGAGAATTTTAAAGTACTTTCTAATTATTAATCCATGACTTTCTGTCTTCCTGGGGCATAAATATGGCAAGAGACACAGTCATCCTTCACAGGCAACTTGGCTGAGCGAAAACCACATATTTATCTGTCAAAAACACGCCGAGCAGGACTGTAAAGAAGTCTCCAAACCTCTCTGTACGAGAACTGCAGCAAAGTGTGACATTTTTTCGTCACCCAGTCTTCACAACAACCATTAGACGCCATCTACAAGCTAGCCCGTCATTTGTGTGGCATGGTAAGGAAAAAGCCAGGCATGTCAGGAAAAAAGTGTTTTCCATCCTACCACCACAAGTATTAGAGAAA